TTAATGCTCAAGCGAGCGAACGAAGTGTTAAAGGCATCTGCCACAGCAATAGGGAAGATCCCCAACGAGATACTCAGTGAAATATTTCGATGTTATGTCGAAATGAACAGCCCCGTTTGGACCCTCATAAAAGTATCCACACATTGGAGGCACATTGCTCTTTCTCTGCCATACCTCTGGAACGTCCTTACGATCACAGACTTCCTGAACGGGCGAGGATACGAACGCTTTGAATATTGCGGAGATATCTTCTACTGTGACGGTAGAACACACGCATGCACTAGGCCAAGCGAGCTGCGTGACATCGTTGATCGATGTGGAACTCTGCCACTAGACGTCTCTATTCAGTGCTACACCCTCCACTACGCCACTATTCTAAATATAACGAGCTGCATTGATTTGCTTTCTACTCGTTCAATCATGGAAAGAGTCACCTGCCTAAGGATTGATATCAGTTCCCCTCTACTCATGGCTATGGATTGTTTCAAGGCTTTGCCGTGTCGAAATCTTCGACATCTTGAAATCCGACAAGAACTCCCAGATATGTGGAAAAACACCATTCTCGATTCAATTTCCAATACTGCAGTCAGCCTGCAGTCCTTTTCGACCACTACAACACTCGAAAGTTCCATATTTCCAGACCATATCTGGCTTGGTATAAAATCTATTCATCTTCAGCCATGTTTTCCTAGCTCAAATATCGATCTATGGGTTCACAAAGTCTCCCATATTGAGCAGTTTTCAGGTCTACCTCGCTTTTGGCCATCAAAAACGACGCCTAGGTGCACATTCTCAAACCTTTTGAAGATCTCCCTCCGGTGCACTCCTCAAGCGCTTCATCGTCTGCATCTTTCCGCTCTACAAGATCTGACGATAACGGACGGGAGAGATCAACCCCTTGAACCAAACGATCCTGTTCCTGAGCTATCAAAATATGTGGCCCTTAAATCGTTAACGGTGGACTCTTTCAGGCCAAATCAATGGCTCGCCAATATTTCAACACCCAAGCTAGAAAATATGAAGCTAGTTATCAGAAGATGCGAAGAACTCAACGTCAATTTCGAGAA